CTGGCTGCTTCTCTAAACATTGGCAAGAGAGAGAAGATGTTCAGAACCTGAGTGAAACACGAAGGTGCTGCTACCCAAACCTCAGGGGCTGAGAAACTGACTCAACAGGAACTATTTGCCAAGCTATAACCAGAGGAATGGTTTATCCTGACCATTTAGACCAAGTGAATTCGGGGCACAAGTGACTCACATATTCTCTCTTCCTATGTTTAATTCCCATTACCTGAAGCTGTCTTGTTTCATTTTCTAGTATGTGCTTTACTCTTGTTTTCACGGCTGCTATTTCATTTAGCACATATTTAATAGTAGATACTGTGCTACAGAACTCACACACATCATCTCATTGAATCCTCTCACAATCTGGTGAGGTAAGGATTCTGGCCATTTAACAGACTAGAAAACTGAGTCCTAAAGAAGTAGGGTAACTTGCTCTGGTCCTCAGCTGGCAAGTGGATGAGCTAAGCTACTCTCCTCCAGTGCTTGCCTTGACCTGAACTGATATACACTGGTTTAAGACTTAATTCAAAATCAGCTTGTCTTTTTAGTTTTTATAGAAGAACTTTTTTTTTTAAATAGAAAGCAACTAAATGTTTTCCTTAAATAATTTACTTTAAAAATGTAGACTACATGTTTGGCCTTTCAAGAGTACATTCTGGGTGGTACATGATACATATAAACAATCTTCATATTTGTTTCTAATGATGGCTGGGATGGAAAACCAAATTTGCCAGGTGGAGATTTTACCCCATCCTTGGGAGCCCAGTTTTAAATTTAACTTGATTGATTTAAGGTTTGAATTTATTTCTGGCTGGCCAAATGTGGCTTCCTGGCTTAGCAAAATTCCCTCAAAACAAACTGGAAAAAAGAATCCCACCTAAAATGGCAAGGTGAAACACTCTACATTTTAATGAGCTCATTGTGAGTGAATTAGAAACATTCAAATGCAACTTACTTTAAAATAGATCTGGGTGTTAAAATAAGGGACAGCTGGTAGTTTGGTTTCTTCTGATACAAACCAAACGAAGGTTTGCCCCTATAAAATGTGCTGTTACTTAGAGCACATAAATTTCACCTTTTCTTTCTTTTTTTAAAAATAAAAGCATTAAGGTTCAGTGTAGAAGAACACTTATTTAAGGGGCAAATAAAAGAGCAATGTGGGAAAACTCTGAAACAAACAAAAAAATCTGTCATTGATATGTAAAACCCTATGTGAAACTATTTACTGACATGTGGCCTCTCACTGAAAGGCTCCAGGGATATGTAAAACTGTATAATATAACTGTGGGAGAATAAGAGATGTTTCATAGAAACTCAGTACATCTTTCTATGTTGTCTAAAAGCAACAAATATGATATTCTCTGCTATTGATGATGATGAAGTCCAAATAACAGTGAACCTGAGAGCAAAACAAAATGGAAACTATATCAGGTATGACATGGATTTGTCAGCCTTCTCCAAGAATGACCAATATTTTTAAATTATTTGCAAGTTCCCCTACCGAAGGTAAAATATAGAAGATAATTTTCTTTCAAAAAATATACTGGCAAAACAAGAATTCCTAAGCTTTCATCTGAGCAAATGCCTCAATTCATAGCTTTTACTGTTTTTTATGCACCTCCCTCAACTTGTGCTGGGGCTCCAACCCAAAGCCTCCAATGTGCTAGGTAAGTGCTCTACCACTGAGCCACATCCCTAGCTTTCACTGCCTTAAAAATTAAAAAAAAGTTTTTTCCTGTGATTGTATAACTGTGTATTTAGATTCCTTTGGTTTTATAATTACTTTTTTGTCAGTTAACTGGATTTTTGTGGCACTTTCTTGCAATGGGCACATCTTCTTTTCTTCTTTTCCCCCCAGTATTGGAGATTGAACTCAGGGTTGCTTAATACTGAGCCACATCCTCAGCCCTTTTGATTTTTTATTTTGAGACAGGGTCTTGCTTAGTTACTTAGGGCCTCACTAAGTTGCCAAGGCTGGCTTTGAACTTTCGATCCTCCTGCTTCAGCTTCTAGAGCCACAGAGATTATAGGAATGCACCACTAACCCACCAAACCACATCTTGTTTTCTATAGCCATGTATGCATGTGTGTACATACACACACACACACAGACACACGCGCGCGCACACACACACACCACTCCATGTCCTATATGGCTAGCACGCCTTTTTCATCCAGCTACCTCTCTCCCTTTGGTTACAGACAAGTATCTTCGAGTTTCAGCTTTCTTTTTTCCTTTAAAACTTGTATCTCCCTGCCCAGGTTTTTAACCTCAAAATTTTTAGGGATTTCAATTCTTCCATTTCTGGCCCCAGAGACTGACACATCCTTGGTGGATCCTGAACAACTTCTAAATATCTCTTTTATAACACACTTTTGTAAAATACCCAAGTCAGCTTTGTCATGGAAATAACAACTGAGTCACAAAACTTGATTGTGATAGGAAGAGATGACTATCTTCAAAAAGATTATGTTAGGAGTCTGAGAGTTTGACTCAACTTCAGGTATGTATGGCAATCTTGGGCAGGAGATCCATAGAAGGTAGGCCTATGGTTGCTAAGGTTTTCACGTGTGATGGCCCATAGGCATACTCTCTGCCTAGCATCATTTGATTCAGTAGCACTAAATGTTTATGATATTTAAGTTTAATGTTAGAATTTCAATTTGAGCAGAATCAGTGTTTGAAATCAAGTAGATAACTCTGGCCATTCATACATCACTTATCAAATACATCTTAGGAAGGAAGTGATGAATACTTCACAGAATTACTCTTAGAAGATAGGGATAATTTTTAGAATAGTTAACTGCTGATATGACATGGGTATACACAATCAGAAGGAGCCCTTAAGGGTTGAGTCCTAGGAAAGTGAGTCTTAGGAAAGTGAGCAGGGTAGGAGCTATTGCACTTGAGGAGCTCAGGGCAACAGCTTTCTATCAACCAGATCAGAACTATTTCAGTTACCACTGCAGCCATGTTGCTGGTTTCAGACTGAGTAGCGCCCTGCTGTGAGGTTCACTATACTCAACCATAATAGCATAGACCCTCTCTCTGCAATAGCATGTTTATCATGAAGAAGAAAGGCTAACCTGCAACTAACATGAAAAATTATACTGCAGATATTCCCTAATTTACTAGATGATCATTTAAAACTTGTTTATTTACTGACCGTGAAAACAAGAGTAAAGCAAATACTAGAAAATGAAACAAGACAGCTTCAGGTAATGGGAATTAAACATAGGAAGAGAGAATATGTGAGCTCACTTGTGCCCTGCATTCACATTCAACCTTATCAGCATTTGTTAAAGCAGTGTGATTTCCAAGATAATCCACTGCATTTAAAGCCACCATATCCCACTTTGGACTATATTTGCCTGGAGTTACTGATTGGCGAGGAAGGCATACACATTTACTGAGGGACTCACTTTAGCAGCTGCTACCACCTGTGGGGACCCTTGATGGTGTTCACACAGTTTTTCTGAGTGATTCAGGCTGTTTCTTGGACCAAATTCTTGAGGTGAGGAAGACTGCACACAGCTCTAGCTCTTCCCCTGGGACTGTGCCCTGCTTCTGTTTCCAATGCGGGAATGTCAGGTTCCAATGAGGGCATTCCAGGAGCTTTCAGATCAGCACTTCTCAACCTTTTCATGCCACAGGCCCTTTTGGAAGGCTGATATTAACAATGGACCTCTCTTGGAACAAGGTTTCAGACACACAAAATAAAATACATGGATTCACAAAGGAAACCAATCATATTGTAATACAGTTAGCAAAATGTTTTTAAAAATTGTGCTATAGCAATATATAAACTTCTTTTTTGACATACAAGAAAGATCTGAGGGTTCTAATAACTATTTTAATACTTGTAACAACTGTAATGTCAAGTAAAAAACTTAGTTTCTACCGGTGACTAGGTTATTGATACTTATTCTTCTACCACTGTGGTTTGTTGCCTACGTTCCTAATGGAAGGAAATGCTAAATCTCAGATATTGGTGAAAAATTTAAAAGTAATTTTTTTTTCTCATCTAAGTTCAGAGTACACCTTGAATTAAATTCTCTCTCCCCTGGTTTTGAATCATTGATGAATTAAGTCCCCCAGAGAGGCTCCACCCTATGTCCTGGAGGCAGGAGCCTTCAGGCCACCCACATTGACCTCAGAACTAACAGCCTCTTGGTCTGGAAGTTTTTCCCCTAACTAGACCAGGAATTTAGGGCTATAGAGAGGGGGCAAGGCCTGAGCTCCTAAGCGCCACTTTGAAACACTCATCCTTTATGGCTGAGGGGTTTCTTCCCAGCATCAGAATACTTAGAAACCAAGTTTGAAATTTTTGACCTCAGGGTGACTTGTAGATCCTTGGGTGATCTGGGCAAAGCTAAACTTCGGTTTTCTCATTTGCAAAAAGAAAATGACCACGTAATAGGATTGTTAGGATTAAATGAGGTAAGGGCTGTGCTTTGTAAATTGTATAGCACTATCACAGTGTGTGTACTATTATCATTTTTGACGGTTAGGTATTCGAAGAGCCAAAAAGTATGCAGCTCCAGTCTTCAAGTGTTGGGACACGTTAAACACTCCATGAACCCTTAGAGAATGAATGACTGTAGTGTGCATTTGCACGTGGGCCCACAGCTTCAATAACAGGCTGCTTAGGGCAAAGAGGCCGGCGCACCGCCCGCACTTATCTTTACTGACAGGTAGTAACATCCTTCTCGCTGAGCCCTGCACCGCACAACCACAACTCAAGAGCTTCTCTCCAGAGGGGGCGGCCGGATGGGCGTCTCGGCCCGGAGCTCCCTCCAAGTCTCCCGCATCGCTGCTTCCGGGCAGGTGAAGGGCGGCGGGAGAGGGCGAGGTGCCTGGCGCTCTACAGCCGGGGCCGGTCGGGAAGGTGCCGGCGGCTTGGCCCGGCCCAGGGAGCGCGAGGAGGGGCCAGCGGGTGGGGAGGGGCGGGGCCGGCGTCCTCGTCACTTGATAAAACGCTTGCTAGTCTCCAGAGAACAACGAGCTCATTCAGCGGTCGGGAGCTGCCGGCGAGGGGGAGCGGCAGGACATAGAGCGCGACCCGTCCCGGGGGTGGGGCCGGGCGAAGTGGCGAGAGGAGGCGAAGGTGGCCGCGGCCGCTGCAGCACGGCAGGCAGCCTCAGACCCGGCCCGGAGCGCACGGCGGCCGCTGCAGGTCCCTGCTCCCCTCTCCGTGCGCCCGCCCATGGCGGCCGCCGGGCAGCTATGCCTGCTCTACCTGTCGGCGGGGCTCCTGCCCCAGCTCGGCGCAGCCTTCAACTTGGACACCCGCGAGGACAATGTGATCCGGAAATCTGGGGATCGCGGGAGCCTCTTCGGCTTCTCGTTGGCCATGCACTGGCAGCTACAGCCAGAGGACAAGCGGCTGTGAGTTCCCCGACTCTTCCCACCCCCACCGGGGCGCGGGCCCGCGAGAGGAGGGGCGAGGGCGCGCCCTGTTCCCGCCTGTAGGCAGCCCGCCGGCCGGCTCTACCCCTACCCTTCCCGGGACTCCTCAGGCCCCACGGTTCAGCGGGTCCCGGGGGTCGCGAGTAAGCCGCGCCCACCGCCCTCACGCTCCGCTGCGCACCTCGCGCTGGTGCCTCCCCTGTGCAGCCCTCGGAGGAGGAGAACCTGAGGTCGGACCTCGGCGGACGGCGTCCGGGGCCCCTGGAGAGTTTACTTTTTTAAAAGAAAACTTAGTACTTTCTGCCCGTTCTTCCCTCCGGGCCTGTTTGTTGGAACCCCAGCAGGTGGCACGCTTTCTGAGCTTCACGTGTGTGTGTTTGGTGAAGGGGGTGGGAGTCAGGGTCATAGCATCGCTGCCTCGGGGCTGCTGGAGCGACGTTCCAGGCCTTTCCCAAACTCACAGGACACCCGGTCCCCTGGCGAACTCGCGCGCTCCGCGGAAGTTGGAAAGACACTTTCCTTAGTGTCCTGGGTGACTTTACCCTCAGGGCGTACGCTCCTAGAGGGGATACTTTTACTCGCTCTCCACCCCTCTTTTGGAAGGTGGAATTAACCAAGCACCTGTTCACAGAACTAGATAAGTTAAGAAAGTAAGTCTCTCTGAGTGGTGTGCCTAGCCCCCCTCCCCCCCCCCCCCCCCGCCTGGTCCCCTAATCAATTGTTCGGCCGCACCCGAGACCCGCTGCACCCCTGCACTGGGCAGGCTCAGCCAAGGGGGTCAAAGCAAAATGTCCGATCTTGAGCTGAGACTTGGCAAACAAGGTTCGGAAGTGACAACCCCCCACCAGGGCTGTGCTCTTCAGAGGAGAAAGTGGAGACCGGTGCTCTTTGCCTCTCCTTTTCTTTTTAAAACTATTTGGTTCCCACATGATCTCTTTAGACCCAAGAGGGTATTCTGGAGCTAAGCCTCCTTAATCGCTGTGGGGCTGCATTCTTGATCCGTGCTACGGAAAAACAGACTCTAACAACAAAAGGACCCCCTCCCCACCCAGGCCTTTAGTTGAACCCAGGTCCTTGCAGGACCAACAGACCGGAGAAAGCAAAGTGCAGCCACAGCATGAAGGATATTTTACTGTCCCTCTTTTGGGACTTTGGAGCTTGTGGGAACATTGATTTCATTGGTTAACATCGTTGGAATTTCTGAACATTGTGTACATCCTCATCTAAAAGTCATTTTTTTTTTTCTGACAACACCTGCTAGGTGAAGCAGAGACACTAGCTGAGGGAGGGGCGTCTGCAGGCAGGTGGTCTGAGTTTGCAGGCCTGGCCAGCTGCTTATACTCTGCTTTCTTATAGAAGAAATGGTTAAGCTGTAAATCTGAAATGAAAGGTGGTTTCTGCTAATTCAGTTAATGGATGACATTTAGTGTCTTAGAATACTGTGTGTAGCTGTGTTTTCACCCACATGATCTGAACTTGTTAGTGCACAAGTGTCTGTGGGCCAGCAGAGGGAATGCATTCCCCTTGGCATTCTGGCTTTTTGGGGGTTCTTGTCCAAGCAGATGTGAAGGGGAAGCACTGGGGCAAGAGTTGTCCTTGGGATGGAGATTTGTACAGTGTGCCTTTAGCCAGGAATCTCTGTCATGAAGGTGAGCAACATGCCTGCTCTAACTTGTCACTGCTGCTGGGCTTCTCTGGTATTAGAGCTGCTGTAGGCCTTCCCCAGGGTAAGAAGCTTGTGACTGGGCTTGAGGCCTTCTAATAGAAATGCTTTTCTTTAGGGCTTACTGAGGGGAGTAGCTGGTCAGACCATCAGATGGGAAAAGGGCCACCTTAAGGGGACTGTGTCTTTCTCTGGAGCCCAGAGGCAGTAACCACACTGTTAGGTGACAGTGGTTTGTGACTGGTGTTGCCCCACACTTTGCTAGAGTACTCCAGCTTCAGGAGTAGCAGTGGTCCTCCCAGGAGAACCAGCATATGCATCCCGTATCGCATCCCTTATCCCTAGTAACAAGGATGTGGATAATAGAGCCAGTGAGATTAAAACAACTGGTCAGGTTTCCTAAACTCCGTGAAAAAGATGAATAGGAATATTTCAGGAAACTGGTGGAGAGTGTCCCTTCTTGGCCATTTAGTAAATGTTCATTTACTTTGGACTTTAGTTTCTTTATCTACAAAATAAAGATATAATAAAGGAGATACACTGTTTAATAGGGTTGTTGAGAGGATTAAAGGGACATGCAGAGTACTCAGTGCCTCCTCAGCAAGGATACTTGCTGACCAAATGGTAGGTGTTAATGATAAATTTAAAAGCAGTATCTGTGTTCTTAGTTACTGTGTGTCAGATATTGCATAGGTGTTCTGATATTCTGTGACTGTATTACTGCGAAATAGTAAAGCCAAAGGTTGTTGTTGGTCTGGTTGATTCATATCTTAAATTCTCAATCACATTTATGAAACTTAAAGCAGTTAACATCAATGAATTGTAATTAGACTCATAACAAAAGTAAATTTAATGAACAAATGACTTTGAGATAGAAGTAAAATATCATAGATGTGTGGGAATATTAGATAAATACTCTGTTATAGAAAACCCATTATAGATTTTCATGGTTTAAATTTTCTACAATGCCACCTAAATATTTAATAATGTCTTTAACACTAGTTAAGATTCTATGACAGAATAATACTGTGTCTTAAAGCCCTTAAACACATTGGATGTTCTTAAAGCTCTAGGAGCCATAGGACTTGAGGGAATGGTGTAAAACTTCCTCCAGAAGTTTCAGATTCCGAAAGATGATTATTAGCTGGTCATCTGAAGTGACTGAGGTCAAGGTCTGAGTGCTTTGGACTCTTTAATTTCTCTTAGGTACTTAAAGTTGAGTCATCCAAAAAGGTGGAAGGTATGTGAAGGTGAGGACTGTGGGTATATGCATCTTATGAATCATTCCCCAGCCCTTCTGGAGAGAGGGGTCTGTATGACCATAGGGCAGGACCTAGAAGGAGAATGAAGTGTCAGTGATTTTTGAATGGCTCCTAAGTCTCACTTTCTTCTCTCTGATCACCACTATGTTCTAGAAGCTTTCCAAGCCCACCATCACTATTTTTATAACTCCATGATGTTTGTTCTTAGATTTACTCAAACCTGCGATGTCCTAGCATTTAAATCATATTTTCTTAACTAAATATCATCTAGTCTGACTCCCTTAAGTTGCAAGTTGTGAAGACTTTTCCAAAGTCTCACAGCTGTTTACACAGAATCTTAACGGATCTGGATTTGAAGTTGGTATTTCTGACTCATGCTCATGCCCTCTCTAAAAGGAAAAATCAGAAATATCCTTTAGACCTGGAGAAGTTGGCAAGCTTTTGAGTTTTGGAAATGCACTATATTGTGTTGATTTATTAAACTGCTTCCCATATGGGTCAGGGTTGTCTATTTAAATGTTGGTGCCTGGACTCTCTTCCTATTGACCCTTATTCCAACTGGCCATGGATCAAGTTTTAGGACCTTACTTCTGAAAAAGTGCATTGGAGTGCGACTTGCTAGCCAGGGATCAGACTGTGTCCAGGATGTGTACCTAAGCACTTGCTTCCTTGCATTCATTCATTCTTCAGAGTGCCATGTGGCACAGGGCCATCTTTCAGGTGTTGCTGGGTCACCTTGAGTCCTGAGAGCAGAGAAAAAGCCAAAATGGGCAAGAAGACTTGGAGGAAGTCTTAAGAATCTGCAAACAAGCAGAAATAGGTGGGTTTAATTTTAACACAGACTGGTGTGAGACTATCCAGGTAATGACAGGTTTGGAAGAAAGGGTCAAAGTATTTATGTGGTATGAATAATTTGCTGGGAAAGCCAGGTTCAAGGGTCATAGAATAAGATTCTCTATTACAATGAAGCAGTTCATGTAGAGTATAGACTGTTTAAGCCTAACACTATGTTGAGATTTAATTTGTTTTTTATAATCGGAGTATTGAAACTGGTACAAGGTTCCCCCAAGGACCTTGACCTAACATCTTACATGGCCAGTGAATTCTGTGGTATTTCTAAGAGGGACACTGGAGACAAAACAAAATACCATCATATGCTTGGATGATAGGCCAGTTGTGCCTGAAACACTGGTGAGTGCTGAGTCAGCCCATCTAAAGAAAGAATCTAATCAAATCTCAAGAACCTGTCCTACCCCACAGCAACTTCTTCCTGTGACTATTGATAGCAACGTATCTGACAGTTATGATGTTTGACTATTGTCCTTCATCTTCAGGGATGGTCTCCTCTCTCCCATCTGGATTACAGCTTATGTGAGGGCAGGGATCTTATGCTCATTTCTTTGCCTGATAGCACCTAGCCTGTGCCTTGCAAGTACAATGAAGTCGTATCATACACTCAATTTAACTTGTGAAATCAACTCTTCTGCTGAGGGTAAAGAGAGGGAGAAGTCCCTTTATTTAACCCTTTGCCCTTCCCTGCTCAGGCCTTGGTGACCTGCTGTGCTGAGGGAAATGGAGGCTATAGCTGTAATGCAAAGTCACACAAGAATTCTTGCTGGTTGAGTTTAAGGGCCCATGTCCCAACTCGGGGATTTTCGTGAATGATTTCTTTTTTTTACTACACTTGGCTTTTGCCCTAGAGGCAGACTTTAGAACTTAACCCCAGAGACACAGGTTGACCTGCACTACAGTGGGTGTTCAGGATGCCAGGTTGTTGGTTACAAGGAGTCTAGCTAGAGAAGCATGGCTGGAGCATCGAAGTCCTGAAAGCAGCTTGACTAGGTTGGGGGTCAAATGGGAATAAGCATGCTAGGGCACTTGTGAATTGATAGTGAACAGTTTAGTTACTCAAGGATAGCAAGGGAATCTTAGATATATTTAATTCTTTAGATGGAGTAGGGGAGAGGCTGCTCACCCCTTGATGGGGGTCCTAAGAGCTACAGAATGGGGGTCTGGAGGCCTGTGTGACACTCCCACCAGCCTCTTGGGAGGAT